GCACCTCTATACTTAGTCTTTTGATAAATATAACCTAAATTACTGTTCCTGAACGAGACAACAGACAGAGAATGTTTTATTTAAAAACGTCACAAAACCTTCTCGCTACCTTAAAACAGTTTGAATGAACGAAACAATTCTCACATAGACCCATTTTGTAGTGGCCCTCTATTGTTTCATTTTTTTCTGATTTCCTGGAAGATGTTATCACAACATTATACCATTACTTTAATTATAAGATTTCAGAGACAGCACAACTTTTACAATGACTTTGACAGCTGGGAAAAATTGACTTGCTGAATAAATAATCATTGGTTTGAAAAGGAGGAAAAATTGACACATGCAATTTATTGTATGTGTCAAGATAATTGTGAAAGTCTAAACAAATTCCATCATCTTTTCATTCTTTAATTTTCTCAGCTTCTTAAAGAATAGACCAGGAATATACAAATCAATTACAATTTATTAGCACAATTTCCCTCATATCTCATGCTTGACCAAGTTGTACAGAACTTACTACTAACATGACCAATGTATGACTATTGTCCTCAGTACCCATTTGAGCATTTAAACAGAATGCAGAATACAGAATGGAGAATGGAGAATAGAGAATAGAGAATAGAGAATAGAGAATAGAGCAGGGAGTGATCACCTAGTGTAGGTTGTAGTTTGGTAAGGTAGAATAGAGCAGCAAGTGATCACCTAGTGTGGGTTGTAGTTTGGTAAGGCAGAATAGAGCAGGGAGTGATCACCTAGTGTGGGTTGTAGTTTGGTAAGGTAGAATAGCGCAGCGAGTGATCACCTAGTGTGGGTTGTAGTTTGGTAAGGCAGAATAGAGCACGGAGTGATCACCTAGTGTGGGTTGTAGTTTGGTAAGGTAGAATAGCGCAGCGAGTGATCACCTAGTGTGGGTTGTAGTTTGGTAAGGTAGAATAGAGCAGTGAGTGATCACCTAGTGTAGGTTGTAGTTTGGTAAGGCAGAATAGAGCAGTGAGTGATCACCTAGTGTGGGTTGTAGTTTGGTAAGGCAGAATAGAGCAGGGAGTGGTCACCTAGTGTGGGTTGTAGTTTGGCATGGCAGAATGGAGCAGGGAGTGATCACCTTGTGTGGGTTGTAGTTTGGTAAGGCAGAATGGAGCAGGGAGTGATCACCTCGTGTGGGTTGTAGTTTAGTAAGGCAGAATAGAGCAGGGAGTGGTCACCTAGTGTGGGTTGTAGTTTGGCATGGCAGAATGGAGCAGGGAGTGATCACCTCGTGTGGGTTGTAGTTTGGTAAGACAGAATGGAGCAGCGAGTGATCACTTAGTGTAGGTTGTAGTTTGGTGAGGCAGAATAGAAGAAGGAGTGTAGTTCAGTGGGTGAAGCAATAAAAGGGCGAGATTTATCACAGGAGCCAAACACAAAATTTAGGCTGCAGCTCAGTGAGGCAGACAAAAACAAAAATGTCACCAAAAAAGGGTTATTTTGATGAAAGATAATGCTCACCTATGTTTGATGGTAGAGGTGGTGGTGATTCAAAGGAGATCAGATCTTTATGTATATATTCTGGTATTAATGCTGGTGATGGCAATCCAGAAGGAGCAAAACCATGACATAATAAATCTTCAGGCGATTTCATATCCAGCAGTTCTACAAGATTAAACATAGAAAAACTTCAAAGTCTCATTTTCTGAACAAAATTGAAGCATTTCAAGAAATACACATAAGGTGCCAAAGATCAACATATACATACCCAATTGGAAACTGAAAGTTTAGCCTTTTCACCACTAGAATTTTTATGCAATTTTTTCATATATTCTCCGATATTTCAGAAAATGAACCATAATTTGGAGCCAACAGACCAAATTTTATTCAATTTTCAGTTTTACTCAAAAAATTCAGCTAATCTTCTGAAGTAAAGTGCAAACTATAAACAGGACTATATGTGAATTTGTGATGAAAAGAAGGATCGAGTGGTTATACATGATGTGAATTAAATTGTGTTGAATAAAATTTGTGAAGCAAAATGAATTTAAAGCTCAGCAAAGACATGTTAGACAGGTCAAGTGATACACACCATTCCATTGAACGTACATACGCGAGACACACAAGAACAATTGTTTTTACCTGTATTGTTACTTGCAGAAATATTTTGACCCTTTTCCGGACTGCCTTCCTTTACTGGAAATTAAACAAAATGAGTTGACAGTGTCACAAATTGTTCCAATAGAACACAGTCTTGAAAAGCAGCAATTTTATAGAATCCAATGGTAAAACAATTACGGGTTGAATTTCAGTCAAATAATATATCAAACAAGACATTGACATAGTTGATTTTTATTGGATTGATTTAACATTTGAGGACATGAAATTATGTCTTGTCTCTGTAACAACTATAAAAAAAAAATTTTTTTAGGCAAGTCTGAGAAATGGTTGACATGGCCTGCTGAAAACCTCTTGACATACCAGAATTAATGGGAAAGAAAGGGTGTTAGTCTACAATTTGTTGAGACATAAAAATCCAATATGGCTACCAGTTAACTTTGAATCAAATCACAAAATAAACTGACATGCATTAGTAAGCCACACCTGAGAAATGAAAAATACCATGTTTGAAATGGTCATAGGTCCACTCTACTGTATTCCACTCGTTGTTAAAATGCCATGACTACATACCTGATTTCACTTTTACTGGCACAACTGGTTCTTTAAATACTCTGGCATTTTTTTTATTTTCACGACAATTTACCTCATCTGGAACTGGAAGCAAAGAACATTTAGAAATAAGAATATTTAGAAATAAAAACAATTGAGATACCGGTAGGTGGTTATTAACACCAAATACTCATAATGAACGGCCATTTTATGTCTAGATTACATTTGTACATTGCATTTTATTACCATGTATGTACATGAGGTATCATAGCCAGTCAATACTTCACCATTTCACCATGGCAGATCCTGTTCAATCATTATTTATTTTAATGTGTGTCCTCTCTGGCAATTTGACATCCCACTATTTTGCATTACAACATTGCCATAAGCTACACTAAATCTGATTGGGCGCAAGTTTTACCATAAGATCTCGGTATACATAACCTATAGGTAGAATTGTGCATGGGTTTGTGGGGGAGTATGTTTACATCAAGTATCAAAAACAAAGCTACCATATTTCTTTGGTCAAAATAACTAATATTCTAATGGTTCAACAACAAATGTGATTTTTGGTTTATATGCAATTCTATTGGAGATGCACTTCTGATAGAGCAAATACAGTATTCAGACAATGGTACCAGGGTGTAAACAATATCATTTAAATAGACAACTGTTTGGTTGCTATGAAATTCGTTTTTTTTTTTTTTATAATATCACAAAGATCAAAAGATTGACGCTTTCAATAGCACCCCTTTACAACTCATAAGCATTTTATTAATAAATGGCACGACTTATACGTATTATGTATTGAATACCAGGATTCTCCCTAGGCCATTATAGAGTTAGGGATTCCCTAACTCTTTATTCGGATAAACAATACAATAGTGAACGTAACAATTAATACAATAGGGAATTAACATATTATATTGTTATGCAAATTAGCTGATACTTTGTGCTATTTTCCTGGGGGGACATTAAATACATTTGTGAAAAAATAATGAATTTAAAGGTTACCTTCATCTTCTATGATGACATCTCCACCATCTTTACCTCCTTCTACATACGACTTGGTTCTTTTAAAACTACGCCCTATAAACAATGGCAGGTATGGATAATATTATTGAGTTGAATAACAGTCTGCTAATGCAAAGATTAGTATCCCATAATGCAATGGTACAATTGCAAAGATATGACATTGGTATGTGATAATCAAGTCCGTATACAGAGATAGTATGAAGTACAATTATTCAGTTTTGAAGCATTGTAACAAATAATATGGAATCTTTTATGACAGACCCTTTTTATTTACTAAATATAATTAGACACAAAGCCAAGTAAAACAAATTAGGTGTTTGCACTAATGGGCTGAATAATACTCAGTAGGGTTTTTGTTTATTTTCCCCAGAATATAAACTGCATGGCAATACGACTGCAATGCTTTGTTTTTCTGCTACACTGGTCTAACATCATCACAGTCTTCATCCTGACTGCCACAGGGTTTGAGTTAGTATAAGTCAGTGTTTCCACTGATTGAACACACACACACACACACACACACACACACACACATGTAGAAGATACAGTGTAGTTGCTAACCTTTCAGATCCGAGTTAAGAGTGACTGTTTTCCCAGGTCCTCTTCCTGTTATTGACAAGACTTGTGGAACTAAAGCCAACAATGCACTCAAATTGCCACACCCATACTGACTTGGCTGGAGCATGTTACCAAACATTTGAAGATATGCCTCAGCAAATTTCATAAATGCAATTGCACCATGGTGTTTCCGTAGTAACAGTCTGGCCTTCCTTGCAAACTGATGTAGAGGGATTAGTTCAACATAGCTGTCTTCTGTCCATTCATTCCTCACCTGAAATACATGCAATATAATATACTGTAAACAGTTTCCTTGGAGTTGCTATCAATATTTGGAATTTGGTATTTTTTGTGTTAGTGGCTGTGATTCACTGTTTTAAAGATCCAAACTGAAATGTTCCTTGTTATAAAAATTCGCAAAAAACAACAACAACAAGCAGCCTCTCGGCTGAGATAGCCCCGCTGTTAGCAATGCACATTTCAATTAAAGAACAGAAGATATCATTAGAAAATGAACAATATGCTTAGTATCAATGCAATGGGACTTGCTGTTTTCAACAAGAATTCAAAAATATCATTTTTGACCATAAATGATTGTGGTTTTTAACAAGAAGAAAATATCACTTTTTACCAATAATGACAAAAACAATCATCAAAATTAGAGAATTGAAGATATCATCATGAAATGAACAAATCTGAAAGAAGTCCACATGTAGTACCTATATATGTAATATCAAAGCAATTGGACTTGCGGTTTTTAACAAGAAGTCGAAAATATCACTTTTTACCAAAAATGACAAAAATATTCACCAAAATTAGAATTAAAGATATCATCATGAAATGAACAAATCTGAAAGAAGTCCACATGTAGTACCTATATATGTAATATCAAAGCAATTGGACTTGCGGATTTAAACAAGAAGTTGAAAATATCACTTTTTACCAAAAATGACAAAAATATTCACCAAAATTAGAGAATTGAAGATATCATCATGAAATGAACAAATCAGAGAGGTCTACCCAAGGTACATATACACCAAGTATCAAAGCATTCAGGCTTGTAGTTTTCAAGAAGAAGTCGAAAAAGTAAAACATTGACACGGACGACGACGACAACGATGGCGCCGGACGACGGCGCCGGACAATCACTCATATGATAAGCTCCGCTCGACAAAGTCGACAGCAGAGCTAAAAAAAGAGTCTCTTACTGTATACAGTATTTTAAAGATTATAGACTGGCGAACATACATTTCACATGAATTTATTGTACTGTAAAGCCAAGACTAAACATTAACAGTTTATGGTTAATTTGTTCACAAAAATCCATGAGTGAGTGCTATAAAAATCCATTTTATTAATTTTACATGTACCTTTAACGAACATGTAACTAGAAACATAATTGTTTTTTTTTTCGAGGACGAAAAAAAAAGATTTTCACATAAATTTTTAATGACACAAGTAAATAATTGTCTATTGAGCTATCAGACATTGTATGTTTGAGGGATGCAATTTATGGTTTACACTGAGGAGAAAACTTTAATTTACACTTACTTTACAGATATGAGACACTGCCTTCAGTAAATCAGTAATTTTACTGAATCCATATTCTATTGGTGTAATTCTATGAGACCACATAAGAAAGTATGCATGGGCAAACTCGTCAACTGAAAGACGGCCATTGTCTTGTTCCATCAGGAGTACCAAGGTTTGATGTGCAAACTCTTGAAGACATGTTCTGTCTATTAAACATATTGTTGCATTTGAACCATGACCAATCACCTGAATAATGAAAAAGGTGTCATTAATAAATTTAACAGTACAGATAGGCCAGCCATGCACACAATTTTACCTAGGGCGAGTGCAAAGTATATAACTGGTAAGACAAGGAACATTGTGCATAATCTGTCGTCAAAAGCTTATATGGTCTGTAAAAAAAAAACGAAAACTTTTTGCTGTAGGTACTGCTTGTTTATTTAAAAGTAATTCAACAGTTCTTTGAAATCTGATACCCTATTGCACTTAGTTGGCAATTCATTTAACAGTAAATTATACTTTTTTTTGAGTAAGAATATATTGACAGTAATATTATAGAAAAGATCATAGAATGATTTCCAAGATAGAGTATGCAAGTGGTGTGGTATATCTTGAATAAAGTGAGATTGCACAATTATCATAAAATCACCAGACAAACCCACATTTTTAGATAAACCTTTGGAAGATCAGCCACTCCCACCTGATGTGTCATTAGCTGATACTGATAAAAGAGTACTAGGTTTAGGGTGATTTCTCACATATACTAGTACACCAGTGGACATAGAGCTCTTGGGGGCTGAACCCTCAAGTGTATGACAATTATGTCATAATAGTATTGGTAGTATAAACTGATAGTTACTTTTGTTATTTGAGCTAAGAGTAAAGTAATATTAAACCAACAAACCTGCACAATGCATGGAAATTTGTTCATCAACTGAGTGACAGAGGTTACATTGAAATCATCCAAGCAGAGTGGGTGACCATATTGTTTAGCATAGATCAATAAAGACTCATCTAAAAGCAGGCTTTGTGCTCTATTTCTTCTCAATAGATAGATGAACTGCTTAGCAACCACTGAGAGCTGTTCTACATAAGTCAGACACACAATCTTCTCATCTCCATGTTCAAAAACCTAGAACACAACCACGGGAAAGTCAATGTCAAAATTTATACCACTCTTTGCCCCAATCCTCCAAATTTTTCCAAGCCTTTCATTGAATAGAATACACTTTTCCTCCAGCATCTACATTTACACATTTATAGACAGCTAGCTGTTTTATTGTTAAAAACAAATTACAAATATACTAGCAAGCAGACAAGGTAAATTTCTTACAATGAAATTTACTCCTAAAATAAAAGGTTTGAATCATAGATTTTTAGATCGATTAGTTGTGTTGTTAGTATATGCTGTAAGAGCTAGGCGGGTGATGGGTGCGGAAAAGCACCAAGTGGCTCATTATAATGCATACATGCATCAGACATGTATAAGATTGACTTTACTGTTCTGATTATTGTCCCATTGTTCCACACAAAATGTGTCTTGTTCAGGTAAAAGTACTAGCCACTGTTAGCCTGAGCTTACAATTTAACTGCAAAATTAGCCATTAATTCCAGACAATGTACTACGGTAGATGCATGATAGGTACCAGCTAAGATTATTAATGTAAAATCTGTATTAGAAGACAGTTTCTATTAAAATGTTACAATGCAACAGAGGGGATGCAGCTTCTATTAGAGCAAATACACAATGATGGAATTTTTGCTTCTCAATTGTTCAAAAAGAATGGGTGCGACTTCTATTAGAATACAGCTTCTAATGCAGTACTGGCAACTGGTAAAGCATATCCTGCCAGCTCCATGTACCTCTACACTGACTTGACAAGATAAGATAAGATAATCTTACAACTCAAGCAGTAAATTTACTGTCTGTGAATGGAATTATGTTTAGTAATCTACTCATTGAGTTGGCTTCAAGCACTAACTGCTCGCAGTGTGTTCCAACCAGTCATTGAATAATGAATAATTTGGTTGTAAGATTCCAAATCAGTACAGAAAATCAAAAAATCAAAGATTTGAATGACATACCTTAACAGTGTCATTAAGAGCTTCAAATAATTCAATCAACTTATTAAAGCCATAATCAGCTACTCTGCACTGCCGTCCAAAATGATGATGATAAGCAGGAATGAACCGTGAAAAAGCCATACGAAATCTTGGCTGGTGACGCAACATATCTATCACATCCTTTGCAAATTTTTTGGTCTTAATAATTTCTTCTGGAGTCTGATCTGTGAGAAAAAACAATGATTTTTGATAAATTAAGCTAAAGTGTGAAGATGATTGCATTCTGCTGACAGACTATCATCAAAACTAAAGTGATAGTTGCATGCAATGGACAAGAAAATTTTGTCACAGTGGTTTCTCATTCACACACATGCTGGGTTCAATGGTGGTAACAATTTCAGTGAATTTGACTGATATAGGTAAACAAGTTCATATATACTGAGCCAGTGCAACTTTACTCGATAACATCAAAAATTGACATATTATTACCTCTCCTGGGAATAGAAATTACCATCTCGTCACCATATCCAGATATCTGAAAATAAATTGCAAGTTATTAAATCTTCAAACGATACATAGTATAGTAACATAGAAACTATCCCAAAAATATATTCATTCAAACCATTTTTTATGCTCATTCACTAGCAGCTGGACGACAATCTAGGAATTAGTCGTGGTTTCATGCATAAAGCTTATTTATTTACTATTGCTTATTTCATTAACAGCTGATTACACTAAATTCACAATCTATGCAACATAAATTCAGCAAAATTCAACCTAGGAAATATACATCAATGTTATCAGATATCACATACCATGACTGTGTTCTCAGCAAGTTCATTCAATAAATCTTGTAATTCACAGACACCATAGTCAGTTACATGCCAGTCTCTGGCAAAACATCGTTGATAAGCGACAGGAAATTCTGCCATACACACCTGGTAAAAACAAAATGGAAATTATTCAAAACATAGCAAAACAATGGTAAAGCTTTCTATGATCAAATTCTTATTAACACTATGAAAATTGATATATCAAATGGTTCAAGAAGGATCATATATTGAGGACATGAAGCTAGTCTGCACTTGACAAATAGAAAGTTGTGGTGTCCAAGTAATCACCAAAATCAAACAAAATTTTTATGATCACTCAAGACCATGTTTGCAGAACATGACTTCTAGATTCTATTTCTATCGTATTTATCCGGGTATAAGCCCAGGGTCCTGAACATGGAAAATTGCCAAAAATTAGAGGTGGGCATTTGCCGGGAGATCCCCGGCAAAAAAAAACGAAAGTTGACAACACGCAGATCGAACTGCGGCAGGGAATAGAACGGCAAATACAAACATGAAACGGAAATAAATGAACAATATGCAACACTAGAAGTAAAACAAAAATAATGTATTGCTTATAATGTGACAAATAAACCAGAAATAATAAAAATCGACACTGAGGAATCATTTGAATTAGGATTTTCCCGCCGACAAACACGCCCAATACGCATGAACTAAAATGAATTAAAATGTCTGGGGTTAAACTGCGTAAAATGATTTCGGGTTTCGACAAATTACGAATCAACCGTCATACAAGATCAATAATAATTTACAAATTTACACAGTAAAAATTATAAAAATTCATAGCTGTTTGAAAAAACTTCTCAGATCTTTATTTGTACGTTCATTGCCATCTTCGTCAAACTCAAAACCCTCAAATGTCCAAGTCGGCGTCACTGTAGCCGTCGAACAAAATCCCTACAACTTATTCCTGAAGTTCGTTGATATCGTCCCACACAATTTGGACTTAGCATTTTTAATCCACAGATTTCGCAGTCTGTAAGCTTGGCACTTTTCATTCATGTCTAATCATAATAAAGAGACAAGAAAAAAATAGGGTCGCTCTGCTGCAATGGCACACGATGCCTTTGTTTACAGTCTAGCAATCATCTTTGACCTCTATGCATCTGCTTTACTGATTGGCTAAGAATGACATCACTACTAGTATTTCATCATAAAGGTCAAATCGTGACAATAGCGGTGATAAAAGATGGTAAAAAAATTGGCAGTCTTCGGCGTGACATTGCAAAATTGCTGGCCCTAGTTATGGATTCGCAAGCTGCTACACAATATTTATAAAGCCAAAATAACGTGATTTCAACCATTCTCCCAGGTACGGGTTGCTACAATATTGCAACATTGTTTTCATTGTTGACGACGCTAAAGCCGAACGAATGCAACACTTGCTTAGCGGCTCTCCTTATACGATTTGCTTGAATCGCTTCTAAGGAAGCACAAACCAAACGGCCGACCCTTTTTAGGGCCACGACATATTTCAACAAGCAGCCTCTCGGCTGAGATAGCTATGCTGTTAGCAATGCACATTTCAATTAAAGAACAGAAGATATATTAGAAAATGAACAATATGCATAGTATCAATGCAATGGGACTTGCTGTTTTAAACAAGAATTCAAAAATATCATTTTTCACCATAAATGATTGTGGTTTTTAACAAGAAGTCGAAAATATCACTTTTTACCAAAAATGACAAAAATATTCACCAAATTTAGAGAATTGAAGATATCATTACAAAATGAACAAATCTGAGAGAGATCCACATGTAGTACCTATATATGTAATATCAAAGCAATTGGACTTAAAAGAGAACTACCGTTTCTGCTTTAACATTTATTTTTATAGACTTGTTGACTGTTATGATTCTGAAAAAAAACAGCGGTGAACGCTCTGCCCTGAAGGCAAAAAGCTGTCACAGCTATTTTGCGTTCACCCCTTGTTTTACGCAACTAACAATTTTTATAAATAAATAATTTTTTGTTTTTATATGTAGAAAACGACCCCCTGGGCGTGTGCCCGGATATGACCTCAACTTCTTTATTGTGTCAAAAGTAGGGGGTGGGCGTTTGTCCAGGCATGGGCTCTTACCAGGATAAGTACGGTATTTCTATTTTTAGTTGATATGAAATTCTAATTTCACATTTCTTTCACACTACTGTTTTTACTTACATGCTTGGAACATGTGAATAGACTGAGCTACATGCTTGTAACATGTGAACAGACTGAGCTACATGCTTGTAACATGTGAACAGACTGAGCTATGTGTTTGTAACATGTGAACAGACTGAGCTATGTGTTTGTAACATGTGAACAGACTGAGCTACATGTTTGTAACATGTGAACAGACTGAGCTACATGTTTGTAACATGTGAACAGACTGAGCTATGTGTTTGTAACATGTGAACAGACTGAGCTACATGTTTGTAACATGTGAACAGACTGAGCTACATGTTTGTAACATGTGAACAGACTGAGCTACATGCTTGT